GGGTGCCTATAGTGGTCCTTTAAGGAAATAATTCTCCCCCTTTGCTCATCTCTCTCAAAGGCACTTGGAACGTGTCTTTCCTAGCCTTCAGACCTTCTCCCCGGGTACTGAACAAGAGGTGGCTGTGCTTCTACTTTCCTCTCGACCCACCATTTGCCCGCTTGACCCTGTCCCATCTCACCTTATCCGATCTATCTTGTGCCTTCCTTAATGCATACTTTCAACTGCTCTCATTCTTCTGGCTTCGTCCCTGCTTTCCTTAAACATTCTACTTTAGTACCTGTCTTAAAAATCAATATCTTGACCCTCTAACTATCGTCCCATATTCCTGCTCCCTTTTTCCTCATAGTTTCTGGAAAGACCTGTCTTTACCAATTTGCCTTGCTTCCTCAATTCCAACTCTCTCTTCAATGCCCTTCATTCTGGCTTCCACCTCTTCCACTCTACTGAGGCTGCTCTGATTAAAGTTACAAATGACCTACTCGTGGCTAAGTACAATGGCCACTAAGCCAAACTAATTCTTCTTGACCTCTCTGCAGCCTTTGATACTGTTGATCATGCTCTCCTTCTTCAAACTCTTCAATCAGTTGGTCTCTGTGACTCTGTCCTCTTGTGGTTCTCCTCCTATCTCTCCCAACGCTCATTCAGTGTCTACTTTTCTAACGCTACCTCCTCGCCTGGTCCTGTTTCGACTGGAGTCTCACAAGGCTCTGTACTTGGTCCCCTTTTATCTTTATGCTGCCTCTCTTGGCAAACGTATTACTTCATTTGGATTCCGCTACCACCTGTACACCAATGACACCTAGATATATCTCTCCTACCCTGATCTCTGCCCCGCCGTCCTACAATGTGTCACTGCTTGCCTTTCTTACATCTCTGATTGGAGGTCCTCCCGCTTTCTGAAACTCAATCTCTCAAAAACTGAGTTTCTCGTTTTTCCTCCTAATAATACTGATCCTTCTCTGTCATTCTCCCTTCAATTTGATGGTACCCACATCAGACCATCCTTGCAAGCTCACTATCTTCGAGTTATCTTTGACTCTGGTCTCTCTTACCTTTGAGCCTCATATCCAGTCTGTTGCCAAATCCTGTCGATTCCACCTCAAAAACATAGCCTGCATCCACCCCTTTCTTTACTCTATGTGTTGCTAACGAGCTTGTCTATGCTCTAGTCATTTCTCACATTGATTATTGTAATTCTCTCCTAATTGGTCTTTTCTGAAACTGTATTTCCGCACTACAGACGGCAAAGAATGCTGCCGCCAGACTGATCGTCCTCTCCTGTCGCTCCTCTGCTGTCGCTCCTTACGTTGGCTTCCTGTATTCTATAGAAGTCAATTCAAAGTACTAATCCTTATCTATAAAGCAACTAACCACTCTAACAGGGCTAAACATTGAAAAAGATCAAAAAATTAGCTTTCTTTGTGCTTTTATTTTAAGCAGCCGACACTTTTATTTGGTTTTGCTGCTTGAATTTCTTCTGACATTAAATCCCGGCAAAATTCAATCAAAGAAGTAATCTGTAAAACGTTTCTAATTATTGCCTTTTTTTTTAACTAATTAAATCTTGGCCATTGTTTATTTATATTGAATTTCTAAGCACTATAATGTAAAATAAAATATATACATTTTAAATAATAAATAAAAATAACAAATACACCTGCCTCAAATATGTTTTGATTTTCTGAATAGAAAGTAATAGCCATTTCTATCTATTATTGGAGTCAGATGATTATGCTAGGTCTGGGTTGCAATGAGTAAATACGAATGTTCCATTGGAAGCAAATATTGCAAGAAAGTGACCTGCTCAACTGATACTTCAGCTCAGAGAAAACTGGAAACGTGTGTCGCACTTTCTGGCAAATTATAAAACCAGAAATAAAATGAAGAGGTTTCCCATGGAATAAGAGCCCACAACTGAGAGCACCTAGGCCACAACTGAGAGCACCTAGACCACAACTGAGAGCACCTAGACCACAACTGAGAGCACCTAGACCACAACTGAGAGCACCTAGACCAAAACTGAGAGCACCTAGACCACAACTGCGAGCACCTAGACCAAAACTGGGAGCACCTAGACCAAAACTGGGAGCACCTAGACCACAACTGAGAGCACCTAGACCAAAACTGAGAGCACCTAGACCACAACTGAGAGCACCTAGACCACAACTGAGAGCACCTAGACCACAACTGAGAGCACCTAGACCACAACTGAGAGCACCTAGACCACAACTGAGAGCACCTAGACCACAACTGAGAGCACCTAGACCACAACTGAGAGCACCTAGACCACACCTGAGAGCACCTAGACCACAACTGAGAGCACCTAGACCACAACTGAGAGCACCTAGACCACAACTGAGAGCACCTAGACCACAACTGAGAGCACCTAGGCCACAACTGAGAGCACCTAGACCAAAACTGAGAGCACCTAGACCACAACTGAGAGCACCTAGACCACAACTGAGAGCACCTAGACCAAAACTGAGAGCACCTAGACCACAACTGAGAGCACCTAGACCACAACTGAGAGCACCTAGACCACAACTGAGAGCACCTAGACCACAACTTAGAGCACCTAGACCACAACTGAGAGCACCTAGACCACAACTGAGAGCACCTAGACCACAACTGAGAGCACCTAGACCAGAACTGAGAGCACCTAGACCAGAACTGAGAGCACCTAGACCAGAACTGAGAGCACCTAGACCACAACTGAGAGCACCTAGACCAGAACTGAGAGCACCTAGACCAGAACTGAGAGCACCTAGACCAGAACTGAGAGCACCTAGACCAGAACTGATAGGTTTATGTTAAACACTCCCTTCCTGTCCCATATATGCATATCCTTAATAATCAGGTGTGATTGGTGGTAAATGTGTAAGAATTGAATACAATACACTAATAGTCATTGTTTACACAAAGGACATGTATGAAAAATCTAATATTTGGTAAATTCATAATTTCAGTCTTAAAGATTAAAAAGAATACATCGTAATACAGTATATTCACAAAAATGTGAGAAAATATCAACAACATATCACACTGTTAGTCTGGTCTCTACATTTAGAAAAACATTTTGTAATATTAACTCCCTGGGAGATAAGAGAGAGAGAATATAAGAACTCTGAGGGGTAGAGGGGTACCAGCAACACCTCGCTGACAAACTCTACCAATGCTGACATTATTGTCTAATTGTGCAGAGACCATTTTGTGGGGGATCAGTCAGATATCGGGATGGTTTAGATTCGGTCTGGAATCGCACCAGATGACCTAAAATCAGCTACAGATCTGAGCGTGGACCCACCAAAGTGCAAGCTATTTGGACTGATGTCCATTCTCAGTATTCTATTGTATTGCTTTGATTTTTATTTACATTCCAACTTTATTATATTTAATATTGCCGATGCTATGTTTCAGCAAACTATGGTTTTATTTTAGCACTTAGTCTGAGTTTGTTCTCAACCAGAAGCTAAAATAAACAGGAAGTGCCCTGTGTAACCAAAAACTGCTTCCCCTACACTGCTGCAAACTCCTGACACACCTATCTCACCTATATCATTCCTGGGGCCAACTTTTGTCGTATATTCATTAGTTTCATTAGTCAGAGAGACTCTGGGAGCCCTGCGTGTCTCAGTATGGATCACAGTAGATGTGAAATAAATGGGTTATACAGAAATCCTGTCTGACTATGTGGGATCTAACATTTCACATCACAAAACATTTCATTTAAAACCAACCATTGAATATACATTGGATAAACATTTTATAGAATACAAAAATAACCTGCGGTTATTATCTGAAACAAC